CCTGTTCCAGTGCTCGCTCCATCACCCTCACCCGTGAGATACCTGCAAGTAGGTCCTGGAAAAGGTCAAAGTTGGCTCTCCGAAAGTCCAGAGTAGCAATCCTACTTTTTGCCTTACCTTTTTGCCACTCAAGATCTTGGACTCCACCATCTCATGATTGCTGTATCCCAAGCTGCCCCTAACCTTTACATCCCTAACAGACCCATCCCTGTTAGTAAGAACAAGGTCCAGAAGCACTCCTTGCCTTGTTGGTGCCTCCAAAACCTGCATCAGAAAATTATCTTCAACACATTTTGTATCTTCAAGACATTTCAGGAACGGTCTGGACTGCATGTGCCTGGCAGTGTTACTTGCCAAATGAGTGTCTAGATAGTTAAAGACTCCCATGAGAATCAGTGCTTGGGATTGTGAGCTTACTTCCAGCTGCTTGTAGAAGGCCTCATCATCTTCCTCCTCCTGATCTGGTGACCTGTAGTACGGCCTCACAATGGTGTCACCCATACCAGTCTGCCCCTTAATTCTCACCCACAAGCTCTCCATATTTTTCACCCTCCCCCAGGTGGAGCTTGATACATTCTAGTTGCTCTCTCACGTAAGGGGCAATTCCTCTACTTCACTTCCCCAGCCTGTCTTTCCTAAAAAGGACATAGCCCTCCATGACAGCATTCCAGTCATGCAAGCTGACCCTGCAACTGTACACAGATTTACAGCTCATCCTGTTCATTTCCCATGCTATGCATATTGGTATACAGGCACTTCAGGGAAGCAGCAGGTGCTGTTACACCTAGAGGGATATAAGAAGATTTTGGAAAGGATATTGGCAGCATGACCTTCTCTGAGGAGCCCTTGCACAATCCTATGGGAAAACTCAGAGGTTATTCCCTGCAATCTCCAACAGTAACAATAGTGACAGCATCCTGCAGCCCTTCTCTGTCACATTTAACTCCCTTTCCTTTCCACTTTGAACCTAGTGTAAAGTCCTGATAATCAATTCAGGGAGCTTGCTCCCCAGAACACTTGTGCCACACTTGCTCAGGCAAAGTCCATCAGAAGCTCACATACCCAATTTCTCAAAGGCCTCCCCAACGTAGAAATACCCAAAGACTTGATCAAGACACCATTCCCTCAGCCAGTCATTTACCTGACTTGTTCTCCTCCTTCTTTCTGGGTCCCAGCTCACCATCAGGAGGACAGAGGAGAACACTACCTGCCCCCCTGATCCCTTCAACACCTTTCCAAGTGATGTAAAGTTCTTTTATACACTTTTTTAGTTTCCTCATTGCAGCATCCTGGGACCCAGCCTGAATGACAATAAAAGGATAGTGGTCTTCGAGTTTAATGAGCTGCAGTACAGCCTATCTCCATGTCTTTTACATATGATCTCTAACATGCGCCCCTGGAAATAGGAGCCTCAGTGCCTCCCAGCAAGAATTCCTCAATTACTAAGACTCTCCGCCCTTTTTTGGTGGTGCTGATATTGATGCAGTGCTCTGATCAGCCTTGCTGCGTATGCTTGTTATTCCCTGCATTCACAGTGCGCTTCTCAGGGCATGGGTTCCAACTGCTTTCCAGACCCTCATCCCTTATGATATACAGGAACCACTTCAAGCTTTTGCCATCGACCGATATCTAGCTTTCAAATCTATTTTATTTCAAAGAGTTTTCCTTTCCACCATGACATCCCAGAAATTGAACTTGTTCCAGATGCATCATGGGAGGTATGCAAAGGCTACTCAGACCCTGCTGCTTTCTCTTTCTTATCTCTTACTGTTATCTATTTGGCAGTGGAATAATACACTTATGTTACCTGATATAATTGTGCTGCTTCAAGGACACCTCCCAGAGGGAGCCTGTATTTGTGCCTTCCACACCTAATCTTATGCCTGGAAGTTTTTGGTATTAATTTCCCAAATATTTCTCCTTGCTCTCCAATGGAATATACGCTGTAGCTATATACTGAACTGCTGAGCACTGTACAGAACAAGTTGGAATAAATTGCCATGAAGAAGAGCTATTACTCTTCATTAACTTCTGTTATCTTTCTAAGCATTCAAGTCATATTAGTTAGGATAAAGGATAACAAGTCAGCTTTAGACAGTGAGTCAGAGTAAGTCCCTGTTGCATTGTTTTCCTTCTAAAGTGGTAGATATTTTTTAAAGCTGCACTAATAAACTACCAGTACTTGGCAAAACCATCTCCTGGAGAGCACTAAGTCAAGATAAGTGAGTAACTGAAGAGTTACATCCACATATAATGTCACCTCTACTTGCTAGCCTCAGGAGAGCACAAGCAATTTGCTTTACATAAAATGTATAGATATTCTGCCAAGTGCCAAAGGCCTGGCTGTTCACACTTCTGAGAAAAATCTCCAGAAACTCTTATCCCTACATGTGGATTCCATCATATGGATCCTATATGACCTGCTGGAAAAAGTGGGAGTAAGTGGGTAACCTTTTCTTACAGTGAAAATTAAAGTTTGATTCACGTTATACTTAAGGTTCTGGAGCATCTTTTAAACTAAAATAAAGTAAGAAAACAAGACAGCTAACTTCTGAAGGTTGTCAAATTGTCAGGCCCTCTGTTGTTAAGTCTTTGCATGCTAAACACACCTAGCTACTCACTGTGACAGCAAGAGAATGACACTCTAGTTAGTTAAAGAATTTCCTTCATCCCACCCTGTGTTCGGTGATTGTTCAAGTGTTCCTCTCTGTAGGGAGAGCAAACGACAGAAGAAAGCTCCTCAAGTCACAAAATATAAAATAAAGAGGATTATTTTTATCATAATCCTTAATCTATAGCATGGGTCCTTCCCCTTATAACTGCCCTCTGCACTCATTTTAGCTATGTTATGCTTTTTGTATTAAAAACTGTAAAGTACTAAAAATTATTTTCTTAGTTGGTGACTCTTACAGCTTAGCATCCCAAATTCCTCTGACAGATAGTTTCTGAAAGATCTGATACAATGGTGCTATCCTGTAACTATTAAAAAAAAAAAGAGATTATGTGCATGAGTGCAATGAGTATTGCAGCACCCTTCTGAATTTTATCATTAGCAGATACTGTAAATTCAGTGCATTTTTTCTTTGACTTTTCAGGAGTTAAAACCTTTTGGCTGAGCTATCTATCATGACTTTTTTCATTGTTGTCCTATGAGGTTTTTTTCAGTTCTTACTGATGCTTGTTTTGCTTGGATGTGAATGTTGGGAGAAGTTTCAGTGGCTTGGCATTGTTCAAATTACACTCCTACTTTTCTACCTCAACCAAACAATGAGGACTAGCTTGATCTGAGCACCTTTTATATTTATGTAGTCTAGGATGACTAAGTGATACTTAAAAAACAGACACTGAAAACTAATCTAAATAAAATAATCTGGGGTAATTCTTGTTTCTCTAGTTTTATGTGATCCAGCCTTTGATAATATGAAGAGGACAGCCCTTACATAAACTTCTGCCAAAGGTATTCAGAAAACATTCCAGTGCTCCATCCACACTGCTCACTTTATCAGTCGTTGACATGCAATTTGTGAAGCGTTCCATATTTTTTTGCGGTCCAGACTGGCAGAGAGGGGTTTAGGAAAGCCAAGGTACAGGATAACCAAACTTGGCAAGGGACATTAAAAATAACAATAGGGGATTCTATAGGTACATTGGCCAGAAGAAGCAGACCAAAGAGAGCTTATCTCATTTAGTAAATGAGAAAGGAGAACTGGCTGTGACAGACATGGAGAAGGCTGAAGTACTAAATGATTTTTTTGCTTCGGCCTTCACTGAAATCCTGGATTCTTGTATTTCTCATGTCCCTGAAGCTCTCATCCCTGGGCCTCTAGGTTGGAAATGAGGGAGTAAATCCCCCCACTGTAGCAGCAGAATAAGTCTGAGGCCGTCTCATGAGACTGAATATACACAAGTCTATGGGGCCAGATGGCATGCAACCAGAGTCCTAAAGGAGCTGGCTGATGTGGTTGTTGAACTGCTCTCCATCATACTTGAAAAGGATCCAGATGATCTTCTGGGCTACAAGCACACACTGCTGGCTCAAATTCAGCTTCTCATCCACAAGGACCCTCAAGTCCTTCTCCACAGGGCTGCTCTCAAGGGGTTCTTCATCCAGTTTGTAAAAACACCTGGGTTTGCCCCAGCCCACTGGGAAACTGCCCTCAAGTCCAAGGGAGCTGAGCAGAAAACCAGCCATATCCTGGGCTATATAAAAATATATGTGGCCAGCAGGTCAAGGGAGGTGATCCTGCCTCTCTGCTCTGTGCTGGTAAGACCTCACCCAGAGTACTGCATCCAGATGTGGAGTCCTCCGTATAGGAGAGACATGAACCTCTTGAAGTACATCCCAAGGAAGGATGCAAAAATGATGCAAAGGATGGAACACCTTCCCTATGAGGACAAGCTGAGAGAGCTAGAGATCTTCAGCCTGTACAAGAGAGGGCCCCAAGGAGATGGCCTTTCAGTGTTTATTGCGGGGCTATAAGTAAATTGCTGTTACTAAATTGGATAGTACATCTTTTCCTGCTTTCTTCCTAGTGCTGTCCAATGCAAGAAAAGTTACTGCACACACACCCCCACCCCCAAATCACCTAAATCACACAGGCAAGGCTTATAATGAAGCGTATTAGGTTTGGCTAAACCAGGCGCATACAACCCGCACCTTTCCGGATGCTTGCGGCCCAGCTCAGCTCTCACTGCGGACCGCGCCCCCTGCTGCCACATCGTCACGGCAGCAGCTCTGCAGTGGCAAGTGGCCCGGCCCGACTTCGAGACGTGGGGAGAGGAGGGCAGTGCCGAAAAATATTATGGCACTGTGCTTAATTGGCAAGGAAATCGAGTCAGTTTTCATAGATTACAATTCGAGAAAATATTATATTTAGAAACACGAACCGGAAAAACATCTCGGCTCAACAAAGTCTTTAAAAAAATCAAACCTCAAATAGACTCTGTTATAAAAACTAGTTAGGTGACAGCAAATCTGATTGCAAAAACAAATAAACCAAAAAACAAACAAACAAACAAACAAAAACCCACTATTTCCTTATGGTGAATTTGTTAAACAATGTATTGGAAAGTACAACAGGTGTAATGTGTCCTGATAAAAACAAAACAAAAACAAACAGATTTTTCTAGAATCAGTTTGTCTAGCCAGAGTATAAGTCAGGCACACTGAGAAAAAACAGGACAATCTATTGAAAAAAAGAATTGGAGACTAAAGCTGCTAATTCCAAATTTTATGCTTTGGTGACAGATGCTTTCATCTCTAGATAGATGCTACAGCTATGGCTCAACTTGCCATTTTCATTAGAGATATTGATAATAAATACAGTGTCACTGAAGAAATGGTTTCTTTGGTGCCACTGAAGAACACAACTGAATCCCTTGAATTGTATGAAGCAGTAAAAAAGTAAAGTAAAACAATTTCCTTTAACCTTTGTCAATGTATCTGGTATAGCTACTGATGGTGCTGTGGTAATGATTGGTGAAAAAAAGAGAGATTTATAAAATCAATAGAAGATGATGCAGTTAGCACTGGTAGCTCTTGTTTGACGAAATATCACTGCATCTGACATCAGGAAAATTTATGTCCAAAATCTTTAACAACGGATAATGTCATGCAAATAGTCATCGCAGCTGCGAATTTCACGAAGTCAAAGGAATGGAATCATCACCAACTCTAAGCGTTCCTTATAAGTTTGAATTCTGATTTGGGGGTCATCATTTACTTTTCTGAAGGAAGGTGGTTAAGTCAGTATAAAATGCTAGAAAAAAAACTATGCAAAGTGACATCAAGTCCTTTATGAAACCAAAAGGAAAATTTGTGCCAGAATGTGAAGGTTAAAAATAGCTTACAGATTTAGCATTTTTGGTGGATTTGACTGCTCATTTAAATGAATTAAACAAGAGTCTTCAAGGTAAAAATCACCTTATCTGTGCTATATTTCAGACTATAACAGTGTTTGAAATTAAATAATGGCAAGGTCAAGTTATGGCAAACAATTTCATGCATTGGCTGAACACAGTCCTGCAAACAGTGAAAAATACATAGCTGTGCTTTCTGCTTTGACAAGGAAATTTCAGAATAGGTTTTAAGATTTCAAAAATAGTCTTTTTTTTTTTTTAATATTTGGAACTCCATTTTCAGTCAACATAAACACATACTTGTAAATTTACACATGGAATGTACAGAGTTGCAATCAGACATTCAACTCAATAAAAATTTGGTCATATTTCTTTACCAGACTTTCATAATCTCTGTCTTACCAGAAAAAAATATACCCCTTGCTTCACAGTCACACCTTATTCACGTCATCATATTTGGCAGTATATACATTTGAGAAGAATTGTTGTCAAGGATGAAGAATGGGAAGAGCAATAGTTCCTCAAAAATCTCTGACAAACACCTTAAGAACTCACTAGATACGGCAAGCACTGCCATCAAACCAGCCTGACGCATTAGTTTCACAAAAACAAGGTCAAACATCCCACTAATTTCATGTTTTTTTCCTCCCTGTTTATATATTTTAATTAAAATGACATTAACAAATAAGTTTTATTACTTATATACGTTAAGTTTATTATATATTTTATATGTGGCCCAGGCAAGTCAAAAGGTTGGACAAACATGGACTAAATCAAAGAAAGCTGTAATAACCCAGCCCATGCTGGAGGACACAAACCCTATCACAGGTCTGGACTTGCAGAAAACTGCATTCAGCAAGTCAGTGTTTGGCACCCTGTGGTATAATTCAGTGATATAATTCAACTGGCAGATTTATACTCACATTGTTATGGATATGCTATGTCCTTTCACCAGTGTGGGATAGTCAGGACAAAGGTCATTTCTGGTTACCGTAGACAGTGAGGGGCAGTAGCCACATTGTGTGGCTGTCTGCTGTACTCATTCATTAAATGAAGAAAACATGACAGGAAATCTCTTGTAGTTCACCCCTGCCTCATCTTAAGCTCCCTGTGGCTCTCGTTTTTCTCTCTCCAAACACAAATTCACTGTTCCTCCCTAAAACATTCTCAAAAGACTTCCTGTGTTGCATCTCTGTTTTCTTCTACACTATCATGCCTTGGCAATAAAGTTTCCATCACAGAAGCGAAAGCCTCGATAAATTGTGTCACAAGATGTCACTGGTGTCAAGATGTCAACGGTTGGCCTACGAATGGTGTGAGTTTTTATTGAATGAAAAATCGTATATCACCCACACAACAAAGAGTGATGGCTGAGAAAAACAGTATTACCAATCAGAACATTTTATTTCAAGGAACAGTAAAATATGAGATATTAAACTGGAGATGATCTTTCTAGTTGGAAGCAAAAACTGCATAAAAGTTGTCTTCCTGTGACCAGAAATTTAACATCTGCAAGAAATACTCCCCAAGTTCAATCACAGAAAAATGTGGAAATCAATGTCATTTCTTGAGTCTTTCCACAGGATGAATAGAAAAAGAAAACAAAACAAACAAACAAACAAAAAAAACCACAGCAGAAGCAGATTTTTCTCCAAATGTTAGGTTTCTTAAGAGGAATCTGTGGCCAAGAATGCATGTTTCAGGAGTTTTCTTCTACATAAAGCTGCCACTGAAATTATGGCATGTATTTCCAAAAAGGTGAATGGCTGCACAGATCCTCTCCTATTAGGAAACCCACATTATTTAGAGTTTCTGATCCACACTGATCCAAAGGTGTTTTTTGTTTGTTTGTTTGTTTTGTTTTTTTGTTTTGTTTTGTTTTTGTTTTTGTTTTTGTTTTGGTGCCTGGGCCAGTACAAGTCATTTTAAAAGACTGAAAGTTGGGATTTGCTTATTCTTTATTCCTCTACATGCTTTCCATTGCCCTCATCAGAAGCAACCAAGTCTCTTATCTTCTTCCTCTACAAATGTTTGCCTGATATCTTCTATCCCATTACTTCTGGCACATATCTGATTTCAGTTAGAAGGTGGGGAGCAAGGTGTTTTATATTCTGCAAAGGCATATTCATCTGGAAAGAAAAAAAGAGATCTGACAGTTGTATTAAAATAAGAAATCATTCTGACCCCAGTTCATGTGTACCATGCTGAATCAGAAAACATTTGATAGATTTTGTGGTGTTTTTCCAGTTTCAAGGTGCTCGCTTGCAGGTTTACATGGTCAGTGCATAATGCACTCCTCTGCCAATGTTTGTTAAGATGCATCATCGTTGTGACCATATGATATATAGGTAAGGTGGCTGAATAGGCATTCGGGAAGAATTCTCTGGATATTACTGCTATTCTGCTGAGAAGTTATACCAATGTTCAGAAAAGCTTATGGAACTCAAAGCACAGTTTTGATAACAAATCTGTCACAGTTGGTAATGTCTGATGCATTTATAGTTCCTTGAGGCTGGACATAGAAAGGTGGTTCATTCATATTCTAGGTGCTTAAACTCCTGCTGAGTTCAATAGAATTGTCATTCCTACTTAAGCTATAAAATCCAGAATAGTTCTTTGACCACAGCCTGTTATGGCAATGTTAAAAATATGAGACAAGCTATTTTGGGGAAGTTGGGAACACTGCTGCCTTTGTGTTATTATCATGTCCAAGCTGGGGAAAGTGGAACCATACTTCTTTCTATATGTAGTTTGCTAGAAAGCAAATCATGACACACCACTTTCTTATCTGCTTTATGCCTAAATGAAGCAAGAAATGAAAAGATGGGGGACAGCTTCTTTCTATCCTTCTGCAAACTCCTTGCAGTTCAGTAACATAAAGCAGAAAAATTGCTAGTTTGCTCTCTAACAAAGAGGAATAAAAGCTGCAAATGCAGAAACATAAACAGACGCTTGCACAGAAGCAGTGAAGGAAAATCCACTGTCCTCACCTAGGAAATGCTGAAATAAATACCTCGATTTCACAGGTTTTTAAGGTCTACAGAGGTCTCCTACCTGTTTCGTAGTAATCATAAATATGTACTGGTGCTGGCTTGATATCTGACACAGGCAGACTTTGTTCTACACTGAAGGAGAAGTTGACTTCTTTCTGGGAGAGCTGGAAATGGCAAGACAAAAAGATGCAGACTTTTCATGTCTGTTCCCACGCGTAAGGTTCAGTTGCGTTTTTGTGTCAGAGTGGGTGACAAAGTGCCATTCTACAGCCCTCTCAAGATTGTGAACTTCATGTAAAATCAAATAACTATTTAAATGCTGTTACTAAATAAGTTTTGTTGCAAAACTTCTTTGCTCTTTTCTTTTTCATATTCCTAATCTGCTTCTGATGACATTTTTTGCTATTTGGGAGCCTATTTTAAACTTCCAGTTTAACAAAACCAAAGAAAATACCTCCAAACCTACCTTTTGAAGGTAGAAGAAGATGTGGTCATTCTTGATGTCTACATGATCCACAACAGAAGGTTGGTATTGAAGCTATAAATAAAACAAATTATATCAATTTCAGCATAGGCAACTTGCCAAGGAGGAGTAGGAGTATTAATTGATTAATAATTAATAATAAATAAAAAATAATTACAAAAATTCTGAGGAAAATATGTCTGAAGTGGCTGCCATTCTCCAGTTGTGCCACCATGACACTTTGTGACCAAAATAAAAAAATACAAAAAGTTGACTTTTCACAAGATGGCAAGTACAATTAAATCACCAGTGAAAAAAAAAAAAATCCTGATTTACTAGTCAGATTTGGTATGTATTTCTCCTATTATCAGCTTGAGAGTTGTCTCATTTCAGTAAAAATTTAGGATTGCATGATCATTTCTACAGGTGAAAATGACTCATTTTTCAGTGCATTACGTAATTTTAAAAACCCCAAATTTAAAATTCGTAGAAAATAGTATGATAAAAATTATTTTACTATGAAAATGCATGAAAATAAAATGTTCCAAATATTAAAACCATTCATTTTACCCATGTGGATGCAAAGGGTAGGGTGTGAAACAGTATAACATCTCAATGCAAAAAATCTTACAAAGAATTTCTTACAGTTCCAGAGGCAGGGGAGGAATTCAAAGCTGAATAATCATTGGTTTTAAATGCACCAATGCACCACACTATGAGAAGATTGTACAATAAATTGCATTCTTATTTTTATCAACTTCGTGGGGTAAGTTTCATGACTTGAAGATGATATATCTGTTATAAAGCCTAAATCACTCCAGAAAGTAAAATTCAGTTATCAACAATATTCTCTGCACTGTTACCAACATCGTGACCAAACTTACAGATGAAGGAGGAGGAATGCCTGCTTCTTTTCTACCCTTTAAACTGTGTGTATAGGAACAAATAAACAAATCAAAGAGCTAAACTTGTAAAATGCTCATTTACTCAACTACAGCAGAAGTTCTTCATATCTGGATTCTATTGGGCTGTGGGATTAAATAATCATATCCACAAACACAAAGGAGTGCAAAGGAATGGAGAAAAGAGTGAGCAGCCCCACCATGCAGGAGTGAGGCATACTAGAGGAATCAATAACAGAAAATTGCTGGATCACCTTACAGACTAAGAAGAGAATGCTGCAGGGGCATGGGACTGAGTATGGGGTACTGGAGGTTGAGAAAGAATTATTATGGAATGTTCAGGGAAAGAAGCAACAAAGGAAGGGATGAAATTAGACTGGGAGGAAAAAGTATGGGGAAATAGAAGGAAAATAGGACAAAAGAGGCCAGTTGCATTTAAACAGGTACACTTGTCTGACAGCATCTTCTCTAAGATCACTGCAATCTGTCCTGCATTCTTATTAAACTCAAACTCTTTTCCTTGGTGAGGGACTTTCTGTTCTCTGTGTATGCACAGACTACTAGATGCTGAAGAAGGGAACGTGAATCAAAGAGGAATATATGCATGGGGTTCCAGTAGTCCAGAGTGCATGTAAAGGGTGTGCAGGTGTGTAAATGAGTGTGAGATTGCTGGTGGATATAAAGATGGAGTAGTGTGAAAGTACATTATGTGGCTTGGCAGCCCAATATGGAAGCAGGCGTAAGTACGAGCCAATGCTGAAGAAAACAGGATTTGACCTATGAGGATGTCTGAACCTGTCACTGGAGAAACCAGTAGGTTCTTGAGATCCACATATTGCTCAGACCAGTCACCTGGACTAGCTAGCAGAGAAACCAATCTTTGTGTGCTTGTATGTGTGTGTGTCTTAGTAAAACAACTGGGAAAATGGGATCCAAACCCCTCCAAATCAGTGTGTCTAAGGCCAACTGATGGAGTTATCCACTATACATATGTGTAGGTGCACAGGGCCTCAAGGGTGCATATATATATATGCAGGTGCCAACATAAGGCAATTTGTGTCAGACCAAGAATTCAAGGGCAGCTATTGGTCAGACTGACCTGGAGCCAGCTACCAGAGAGAACCACATTGCATTTATGCATGTGTAGAAAATATATTTTCCATGGATGATCTTTCATCTTGATCAGACAGAAAGGGGAAGATGGTAAGTTCATCTGTGCTAAATATGTTTGTATAAATGCTCTTTTCTGTCTCAGCTGATCTGTATGATCAGCTGCGTATATGAATACAGTTGTATATGTCTGTTGTGTGCATGTGTACCTACTGGAAATACATCTTTAGCCTTAGTATTGGCTGGACATGGCAACAACATTTTCACCTCTTTCAGGCTACTGGACTTGGCAGCTCCTAACAGACTTGTTTTCATCCGATGAGCAGCTGCAAGTCTGACACAGAGGTTGACAGAAGACAGAGGCTTTTTGTAGAAGTCCCATGGGACCACAACTTACTGATCAGACATATTTTTATCAGTTTCCTATATTTCTAGGGTTTACTATTCATTTTCCTCTCATTCTTTACCTTTTTCAGGGAAGTTCTATCGGGATTAAATCCTGAGAGCATCTTCACATCAATAATAGCCATGTTAGAGACATTACGATTTCCTGTGTAACTGAAATGAGAAAAGTTCTGTTAATCTGCAGTTGGAGAGGAGACTGAAAGATATCTTCAGCTCCAACTCATAGACAACTCAGATAATCTTTTTATTGGATCGTCCTGGTGTCCCACTGATGTATAGCATATAGGAAAAAATTAGCAGTGAAGGACAAAAGTGTTTCAGGATATTGTCCTGTTTGTCTTCCTGCACAGTAGCACTTAACTGTCTATACTTAAATCCTTCCTGAGATGCTTCACCAAACTGAAATGCAAAAGGGTAGATCAGTAAAAGGAAGTTACCTGGCAGAGAAGACAAGGTCAAACTTCGGTGGGAAGTTGCTTGTGCAGGACACATTGGCTGACTCTACAGAGAGAAAAAATCCTGCAGCTTTCTTTGGTAAATGGATGTTGTATCTCAGGGTTGTCTAAAAGAGATGAAAAGTGTGAGATGGTCACAGATTCTAGTGGCTTTGCCATGAGGTACAGAAGGGAATGAGGCAGAGATGACTCCTGCTTAGTCCTCAGTAGGATGGTGGTGAGTTTCCAGCTTATTTACCTGCATATAGACACAGCCAGTGCCATACACTTCCACACTGTAATTCCCTGGAACAATGGGTAGAGAAGTTTGCTGCAGTAAGAAGCGGTTCTTGTCATTCACCTGAAAAGCCGTCTTGGGGATTTCCATGAAGATGACCTTGATTGTATTATGACTTTCCTTAGTGAAGGTGAGGTATCCATACTGGGCTAAAGCTTGGAGGGCAACAACAGTGTCCTGAAAAGAAAAAATATTATCCCTAATTAGGTAGATATCCAGCTGTGAAATAGTACATGAGATTAGCAAAGCTGCTATCTTCCTTTGTCAGTGCACATAAATGCTGGAGGACTTTGTAAAGAGACAAGGAGAGAGGCTACAAGTTCTGGAGCAACGGGCATGAATTATCCCAGGATTAATGCTCTATCAACAGCTACTTTTGTCTTCTGCTAACTTGAAAATCAGATGAATTGCTATTTCCTAATATACATATACATATATATATATAAAATACTAAAAATGTACATTTATATGTATATATTTATATATATGTATATATTTTTATACACACACACACACACACACACACATATATATGGAGCTGCCAAGAAAGAGCTCAATGTGCTCTAGCAAGACTGATGTAGGCACCACTTATGAAATACTGTTCAACTGAATGTACAGTGAGGAAGAAATGTCATCCACCTTGCAGGCTGCACTATTCCCAAAAGGTATTCTCTTTACCACACCCAGTTGTCACCTGGCTGGAGGAGAAACCCCCATATGGGTTCTGTTGTTTCACAAGCCAGTACACAATGCGAGATATGTATGATAAGTCATCTGATGTGAGTTCAGCTTTGTTGAGCATAGCCAGAAGCACATAGCTGGTCATTTCAATCTCAGCAGAAGGAGCACGGGAATAGAAAGCATGGAAATGTTCTGTTGGTGGCTTATTTTCTCTCTGCCAGTAAACTGAACCACCTGAAAACAGAAAAACAGAACCACCTGAAAACAGGACAACAACAAAAACAAACAAACAAAAAAAACCAACAATGCAAAAAGCGTTAAAAAAAATACTTGCTAGTTAATTCACTACACGTGGGAGACAGGCATACAATTCCCACCCTTCCTTTATCTAAAAGGGTTTTTTAGCTTGTGATGTTCTAAGCTGTATGAGCGTCAGTTTCAAGGAGGAAAAGAAAACAGAAAGGAAATTAATAAAAGGGAGCAGTACAAGTAAAAATGGGGGATGCCCCGTCCTAGAGGTGTTGAAAGCCAGGCAGGATGGAGCCCTGGGCAGCCTTTTCTATTACCAGATCTGGAGGTTGGTGATCTTGCCTGTGGCAGGGGTAATGGAACCTGATGATCCCTGGGGTCTCTTCCAACCTAAGCTATTCTATGATTCTATGACATGAAAGCAGTGCAGCAGAAGGATGCCAAAATGGTAATGAGCTGGAGTATATGACACAGTAAAATGAACTAATTGAGCATGTAGAAGAGAAGGCTAATGGGAAAACTAGATGCAGTCTTCCATAATGTTGGACTGGGGAGTCTTCCTGAGGTCTTTTCCCATCTAGATTATTTAACAATTCTAAGAACATCAGTCCACAGCTCAATCCATAGTGAGGCCAAAAGACAGAGAGAGAAGTTCATAGAAATAAATTCTGACACGAAATGGGAGGGGAACAGCATGAGAGAGAAATAGGTACGTGAGAATAACTTACACCAGGCCATAGGCCATTCCATCAGCTTTATTGTTTGCACCATGGCCATGTTGCACTCACCTTTTTTTGTAGCTCTTTCGTCCAACATTTCAAGAAAGTATTGGTACCTTTCCTGTTTGTCAGCTAAGCCATAAACGTAGGCAAAGAGGGCATGGTTATACAGGTTGTGGACCCCATTGCTAAATGCAGTCTCCAAACAGTTCATGCCATTCCAAACCACAGGATGCTAGGACAAAATACAGTAGAGTCATCAGGTACTCCGGTTCGTGTCTCAGCTTCCCTTTAAAGACCTTCATCACTTCTCAAGCTACCATATGATTCTTTACTCTAAAATATACAAAATCAGTTCTACATCTAGGGGCCTACAATGCATCTCTTTTAAAATATGATATTGCAGCAGTGCTAGTTTGTTTCTACTTTCATTTGGAGAACTAACAGAGTATTGTTCCTTCTCCTGACTTGTGAGATGATCTTTTGCAAGAGAACCCTTTGACATTTGATTGCTTCATCTAGAAAGTGGGATCAGTTTTACAGAGTTCTGTAAAGTGTACTGTAAAGTCATAATGAAGCAAGCTCTCTCATATGGGTGTTATTACTCATTTGCAAGCTATAGCTATCAAGATAACTCTTCAACCTTTTATCCCTACAGATTATCTTTGTGAGCCCTGGTTCAGCTTAGGTATATCACCAGCACACTAATAACCATAGTAGCAGTTGTCTATGCAGTCTCACTTATAGAGGCTGGCACCAGGCTTTGGAGCTTCTTATAAGAGATATTGGGAACTAAGCCCTCAAAGGTGCAGAACTATTCAGTGCTGCACAACGTGTTTGTCTTGTCTACCTTAAGTACATAAATTATATCCCATCCCACAGTATCTGAGGGCCTTGTAAAACTCAGCATGCTTAGAACACTTTTGTAAGAATGCGAACAATTATAATCATCCCTGTTTTACAGAAGAACAAAGAATCAGGTCAGGGTCTCAAAGATATTCAAGAAGTACATTACAGAGAACAAAACTCAGTTCTCACTCTCCCACACCTAGTAAGTATTCCAACCAGTAGCTCATAATTTCCTTTCATTTTTAACAATGACACACAACATGGATCTAAATGTACAGAGATGATCTGTAGAACTGGAGATTTGGATGTCTTGGATTTGGGACTGGGCAAATCCAGAGTGAATTTCAGAATGAACTCTGAATGGGGTAGGTAAACCCAGTATGGATAATGCATGCATATAGACTACTACTGTTTATCACAACTGGATTCCTCAGGGATTCTATGCAATCAGATGAATCCATACAAATTGAACAAATAACCATGCTTATGGCAACTGCAGGGTTCTGGAAACAGATTCCTGTGCTGACCATACTGCACAAGAATTTAAGACATTAAAAATAAATTTATGTGAGTACAAAGACTTGTTCATTGCTTGACGTGTGGGTGACCAAACTGAAAAAAAAGGACAACTGCATCAACTACCTACCTGAACAGAGTGTCCAGCCTCCAGCAATGCTGCCACAATGTATGCTGTAAGTGAGTATTCACCTTCTTCACCACCCTGAAGAAAAAAGCCACAAGCAAAAAAAAAAAAAAAAAAAAAAAAAAAAAAAAAAAAAAAGGGGGGGA